CTAGCTTCTTTTCTTTTCTTTTTTTTGGTGAAGAAATTACAAATAAGTTGGACAATCATTAAAGAATTGCACCAGACAAATTATTTTTGATGCAACTCTGACACATAAAAAAAGATTAGCACCAAATATAAGAATGAATTTGCATTACACACACATGAAAATGAAATTATGTATCCACGGCTCCACCGAAGTGTAGTTTCTCATTTTTTTGGGTAAATTACACTTTGCATCCCTACACTTTAAACAAAATCTCTCCTCAGTCCATATACATCAAATTGTGACAATTAACCCCTTACACTTGTGGTCAAGTGTCACATTGGCCTTTTTGTTAATAGTGGGGCTGATAAAAGTTATCCTTTAGGGGGTTAAGCGTCACAATTTTGATATGTAGGGACTAAAGTGAAATTTTGTGTAAACTGCAGGGGTGCATAGTGTAATTTACCCTCACATGTTCTCTCCCTCTCTCTCTCTCTCTCTCCTAATAAAAAAATTAAAAAAACTATTTTAATCTTTTTCATTTTATTTTCATAATATATATAATTTTTAATATAAAAATTTAATTTTATAAAATTAAAATATCATTGAAAATATAACTTTAAAATGAGACTAATATTAAATATATTTAATAAAAAATTAAAATCAATAAAAAGTAATTACTATGTTTAATTATGTTTTGAAATTATTATTTTTTTAAATATAAAAATTAATTTGATGAAATAAACACACAAAAATTATATATTTTTGAAATTCTCAAAAACAATCTTCATTAAAAAAAAATTATATGAAAATAATTTTTTTTAAAAGAAATAAAAAATACATAAAACCAATCTGTGCATGAGTACAAATCAAATACAGAGGAGTTTTGGAAAGATACTTAAAAGCTAGTTTTTTGATTTTTTTTTACTTTTTTGAAAAAAATGTGTAAAAAATGTGAGAGGTGATGTGATGATGTAATCAAGAATTTTTTACACGCTTTTTTAAAAAAAAAAAAAAAAAAACCAAAAAACTAGCTTTTAACCACCTTTTCAAAGCTCCTATCTATTTGATTTACACTTATGCACAGGTTGGATTTGTGTGTTTTTTATTAAAAAAATTATTTTTATACGATTTTTTTTAATGAAGATTGTTTTTGAGAATTTCAAAAAATATGATTTTTGTGTGTTTATTTCATCAAATTAATTTTTATATTTAAAAAATGATAATTTCAAAACATAACTAAACATAGTGATTACTTTTTATTTATTTTAATTTTTTATTAAATATATTTAATATTAGTCTCATTTTAAAGGTATATTTTCAATGATATTTTAATTTTATAAAATTAAGTTTTTATATTAAAAATTATATATATTATGAGAATAAAATGAAAAAGATTAAAATACTTTTTTTAATTTTTTATTAGGGAGAGAGAGAGAGAGAGAGAGAACACGTGAGAGTGAATTACACTATGCATTCCTACACTTTACACAAAATTTCACTTTAGCCCCTACACATCAAAATTGTGATATTTAACTCCCTAAAGGGTAACTTCTGTTAGCTTTACTGTTAATAGAAGGGCCAATGTGACCCCTATCTAAAAGTTTAGGGGGTTAAGTGTCACAATTTGATGTTTAGGGACTAAAGTGAGATTTTGTGTAAAGTGCAGGGATGCAAAGTGTAATTTATCCCTTATTATTTTTTTTTTTATTTTACCAAGTTTCTCTTAAAATTATGGGAAATTACAAATCATCAAAAATAATTACAAACACATTTGTGTACAATTTTTTCAATGCAAATAAATCACAACAAAAATTACACTCTTACCTTTTTGATAAATATTTTTTGCAATTCCTATTGTCTCCAAATTTCTCCTAAAACGATTAACCTAAACACTTTATAATAGTTTTTTTTATAATAATTTTTACTATTGACAATTACTTTATTGATGCACACCAAACACAACTAACCCAAAAAACACATGCACACCTGATTCTCTCTCCCCCCCCCCCAAAAAAAAAAAAAAAAAAAAAAAAAAAAAAAAAAAAAAAGGGAAAAGGACCAAAAAAAAAAAAAAAAAAAAATCTGAAGTTTTAATCTCGTAACAAAGTAAATTTTGAGTTTTTAATTTTAAACTTTTAAATTGTTTTCAATATAAATTATTTACCTATTTTTGTTGAGTAAGATAGATAGAAAAATTAGTATTTTAATCATTAAATTCAATAAAAATGATATTATTTAAAGATTTTATGTATAACTACATTAAATTTAATGAGTAAATTTTTTTTTGTTAATTTTACTTAAAAAAAAGTAGCCAAACAATTTGAATTGAAAACTAATTAAAAGATTAAGTTATAACATAATTTATTTTGTTACAAGCTTAAAATCTTTGAGATTTTTTAAAAAGGGCTGGGTTTATTTCATGTTGAGATGAGAAAAGTTAAAGGGCTTATGGGATCCATCATCAGCCAAGTTTTAATAATGTGAACTTTTCATTGTAATAATAAATTCGATTTAATTATCATACTAACTTTTTTTATTTTATTAAATTTGTGTCCGAAAAAATAGACGATAAATATATATATTTAAAATAGACTATTTATTTTTTTAAAGACAAATGTGATAAAATAAAAATATTATGATTATCGAATTGACTTAAATATTTTTATAAATGATATATATTAAATGTCCTACAAAATAAGGCCTACTACATATTTTAGCTAAAAAGTCAAAAAGTCACTATAAGTTATTACATCACTTTTTCTATTTTTCTACATATCATTTTATAAAAAATTAAAAAATTATTAGAATAGTTTATTCCAAAATGAAGCCTAAATGTTCGAATTATGAAAGGTAAATTACAAATACATTCCATGAGATTTGCTTAAAATACAGATTGCCTTTGTAGTTTGAAAAATTACAAATATCCCATTGTTAGAATTTTTTATTTAACAGAATTAGCTGAAAAAATAAAATTCATAATTGCTCTCCTATATAATAATAGAATTACCTAAATTATTAATTGAAACATATTTACAACATTATTAAAAACTGTTAATTGACTTGATAAATTATTAATAAAAGAGACAATTTATTATAAATTAAAAACGTCAGGAGACAGAATGTAATTTTTAAAATTACGGAGGACGATTCGTATTTTAAGGACGATTTATATTTTAATGGGTAAATTATACTGACACTTCCTGAGGTTTATGTTTATTACAGTTCCCCCCTCACATTTTAAAAATTACATCTCTCCCCTTGAGGTTTAAAGTTTTATTATAGGTTCCCCTCATCAATTTAATTTTTTTAAATATCAATTTTGCCCTCATTAAGTAAATTACATTGACACCCTAACATTTTAGAAATTACAATCCCCTCCATAAGGTTTAAAGTAGCATTACCAATTGCCCATCGGTTAGTATTAGTTGGAAAAAAAAAATTCATTGAAAAAAAATTAATTGAAATTTTTTTTTGTTAATAAAATTTTTAAACTTTTGTTTAAAAATTAATGTAAACTCATTTTTTGAATTTACGTTTTTTCCTCAAATTTACAAACTGAAACAATCATTTTTAAACCAAAAAAATTATCAAATAAGTTTTTATGACAGTTTTTAAAATTTTTGTAAATATAAATTGAAAACTGAAAACGAAATGGTCACCAAATAGGCCTCAGATGGTAAAAATGTTGTAAAATTAACAAATAATTAAATAAGTTACCAACGTAAGAAATGCTTTATCAAAAGATTTTTAGACTATGTATGGTTTGATATTTAGAAATTTTTTTAAAAAATTAAAAATTAATTTATAAAAAATAAAAAAATAATTATCATTTTAACTTTTGGGCAGGTTATATATACACGTATGACTGTTTCAATTTAATTTGTAAAAAATTATTTATAACCACTCGAAAGATAAAAATTATATAAAAATGATAATTATTTGTTATTTTTTATTTCTCAACCAGATTAATTTTTAATTTTTAATTTTTAATTTTTAAAAATCAAACCATACGTAGCCTAAGAATCTTTTGATAAGTCATTTCTTACATTGGTAACTTATTTAATTATTTATTAATTTTACGATATTTTTACCATTTGAAGCCTATTTAATAACCATTTCGTTTTCAGTTTTCAATTTATATTTATAAGAATTTTAAAAACTGTCATAAAAACTTGTTTGATAATTTTTTTAGTTTATAAATGGTTGTCTCAGTTTGTAAATTTGAGAAAAAAACGTAAATTCAAAAAATGAGTTTATGTTGATTTTTAAACAGAAATTTAAAAATTTTACTAACAATTTTTTTTTCAATTTTTATTGTTTTCCAATTTATTTTTTTTCAATGATTTTTTTTTTTAACTAATACTAACCGAGGGGGCAATTGGTAATGCTATTTTAAACCTTAGAGAATGGATTGTGATTTCTAAAATGTGAGGAGTGTCAATGTAATTTACCTAGTAAGGAAAAAATTGGTATTTAAAAGAATTAAATTGTTGAGGAGAATCTATAATGAAACTTTAAACCTTAGGAAGAGATATAATTTTCAAAAAATGAAAAAAAATTGTAATAAATATAAATTTCAAGAAATGTCAGTATAATTTATTCTATTTTAATTAAATCTCATAAGATATATTTATAATTTATCTAATTATAAAAACGAATCCAAAAGGAGAGAAATCCAATCTTTTTAAAAATATCCCAAAAAATAGTTTTTCAAAAGCAAAGGCAAAAGCAATTGGGAGAACCAAACCCAACACCTTCAAAAAAAAAAAAAAAAAAAAAAAAAAAAATTAAAGAACACAAGATATTTTTTACTAAACTTAATACATTTTTACTAAAACCAATATATTTTTTTAACATTTTTACATATTTGGGAGGAATTTTTTACACACTTCCAACATTAAACAATACCCATTAGATACTTGCATGCATTTGCCTATTCTAAAAACCAAACAAGAATGCATGAGTGAGTGGCATTGATGTTGTGGTTAAACATGATGTACCCCCCCCCACCACTTCCTTTCCTCTCTCTCCCCCCACTTTCTCTCTCTATATAAATTTTGTATTTTGATTGGTACAATGAATTCCCCCTCTTGCGTTGCCAACCAAGACCCTGAAGAAGAGTCAACTACTGTTCCTTCTTCTTCTGAAGCGACAAAGGGTTCGGAGAAGGCCCAAGACGACGGCGGCTGCGGCGGCGGCGAGGAGGTGGCAGTAGAGGATCCCATGGAGGTGGATGCGGTGAATCCCGCTACCGTGTTTTGTATTGGGCTCCAGCAGCCCAGGTCTAATTTGATGCACAAAATGAGTGTTCCCGAACTTTGTCGAAATTTCAGGTAATTCGCTTCATTTGCTTTATTATGTAGTTTAGTTAATTTTGAGTGCCCGAGAACTGTCTCTGTCTCAGTCTCAGCCTCAGTCTCATCATGGCTTTGTAATCTGTGAATTACTTTTATCATGTTTCATGGCATTTAGTTATTTTTTGAATTCAGTGTAATTTGTTTAATTTTCAATTTTAATGGGCTTAATTTGCTTAATTATGTACTTTGAGTTAATTATGAGTGCCCAAGAACGGTCTCCCCTCATGGCTTTGTAATATCTGAATTATTATTATTTTTCTGGCATTTAGTTAATTTTTGAATTCCGTGTAATCTGTTTAGTTTTTTTTTTTTTTTTAAATTTTAATTTTAATTTTAATGGGCTTAATTTGCTTAGTTATGTAGTTTGAGTTAATTATGAGTGCCCGAGAACGGTCTCATGGCGTTGTAATCTGTAAAGTACTGTTTTTTTTGCTGGAATTTAGTTAATTTTTGGTTAGTGGTTGGGAAATGGTAAGCAATTTGGAAAGAGAAGGTTGAAGAAATGGATAAGAGCTTTGAAGTGAACATTTTGAAATGGCTTCAAATTCTTTCTAGAGTCAAATTATTTACTCAAATCACTGGGTGTTGGTATTTGTTGTTCTTTTTTAGGACGTTGTTCTGTTAATTAGTTCAACATTGGCTTACTTTTGAAGGCAGTGATACTATGTAGCTTAGAACGGATAACTATTCAAAATATATGTATACCATATTTCAACTTAAAAGGCCAGGTTTAATATGTCTGGATATCATATTTTTCTTCTCCCTCTTCTTTTGGGCCTCATGTCAATAGTCCTATTTCTGTATTTACTAACGAAAGGAATGGGAATCTATTGCTCTTCTGGCTGTGGGTCTATGATAGAGGATGGAGCATGAGAGTGGGTAAGGGGACTAGAGGTGGACATGGATAGAGCAGAGGGAGGTCGTTCAGGTGGCAGAGGGGAATTGGTAGTGCTTAGCTCCTTGGGTAGCATTAGGGGAGCTTCGATTAGTAGGGAAGGGGGAAGGAGGCAACTGACACTGATTTAGTGTTTACAGGGAAAGGGATTAGCGGGATTCAAAACTACTTCTTGAGGTGGGAATGGTTGTCAAAACTACTTCTTCTAGTTGACTACTTCTCTATTGCTGTTCGAAGCCCAGTTAAAGGTGTTGAATGACCGGCTGTATAGGCAATGGAGGTGTTTAGTTTGTAGTATGATAAAGGGGAGGATGTTTTACATTGGGTACTTGGGAACATCAAAGGATTGAGCAGGTATGTGGTTTGTGAGAGATATGAGTGTGTACTGATGAAGGTGTTTTGTGCCATTGAACAGACGAAAATCTCAGACTAGATAGTAGGATATTGTTATGAAAAGCTCACTGAGGCATGCTCCTAGACGTGGGGTTCACTAAGGCATGGTTTGGGAAGAGGGTTTAGGGGCTTTTTTGGTTAAAATAGCCACAAAAAACCAAATAGGCTTTTTAACCCAATAAGACAAAATATCACGTCCAACCCATAATCATTACATTCTTTCTCTCATAAAAAAGTCAAAAGAACCAAAAACCCTTCCCAAACCAGGCTTTTTAGCCCCAAGCTAAAATAGCTAAAAAGCCAACCCACTTCCCAAACCATGCCTAAATCACCTAAGACGACTCAACACCCTTGAGGTGAGGCAACTTTAATGAAGCGCAGTCGACGAGTAAGGCACAGAGAGGCACACACCTCTTTCAATTGTACCTAATTTGTCAAAGATGCAATATCGACCCTTAAATCTAATGAAGTACATTATGATTTTATGTGTTGGCATATCTTATGAAAGCTCCTCAAATAAATAAAGAGCCTCAATGCACCTCCCATCTTAATAACGTTGGGTGAAGAAAACGGGAGTTAGTTTGGTGTGCATTGTAAATTATGACTCCAAAAGCAAACAACGTTATTTAAGGCGAGAGGCGCCTGTGGCCTAGGCATGACGCATGAGATTCATCGAAGTGAGACATATCTTATAGATATTGCATAGTTCTTAATGAGTATGAGAAATTTATTGTTTGTTTTATAACTTAGACTACATCAACAATTTCAAATGTAGCGAAATCGAATAGTTAAAAATAGTTAACCAATTATACAACTAAATGATTAAAAAAAAGTAATTAATAATTAAGAAATTAAATATTTAAACAAATTAAGTAAACTAAAAAGTTAGGAATCCAAAATTTGTCCAGAATCAGTTTGTGGGGTGAAGATTAAATTGATGAGGTGTGGGGTCCATGAGTGAAATGAATTTGAACCATTGATTGCTATTTTTGGATAAATTATGGTAAGATATTTTGGGTTTGTAGTCTTCTTGTTAAGTAGTTATATAAAAAAGTAAGCAAATTAAGACAGTAACAACAAACAAACCCTTAGGCTACAAATTACTATTTGACCGTTGTTATTGATTAGAGGGGAAATTTTCTAGACTGAGATACGCTGCAGGCACTTGAACAAAAAATCAAATTTGAATAAAATAATTTGGAATCCAATGATAAAAGGGAAAATAACGTAAATATATATTATTCTTTTTTAGATTTTAAAATTATTATCTTTGAATTAAATATTCGTATATATGACATGTAAGAATGGTTTATCTTTGTATATTCCATATAATAAATATAAAAAATAATATATTTTGTGTATATCCCCATGTGTCATGTCATGTCTTACAAGCTTTGTAAATTTTTATGTTGGTGTGTCTGTGTTGTGTCACATGCCTGTGTCCGTACTTCTTAAGCTAATACATAAAATCATAATTGTCAAACTGGGAATTGTATCGTGAATTGAAACTTTTAATTTAAAGATTTTTAAAGCTTAAAACATTTAATTTATTTATGAATAGAGCTTTCTAAAGTAGATAATATGATCTTTTATTCACACTTCATTTTCAATACATAGAATTGGAAAATGATTTCTTAATATTTTGATATAACTATATATTTGTATTATAACTTAAAAAACTAAAAATATATTGTTATATTATTTTAGGGATATATTTTTTGTCGTGTTCTTACCGTGTCGTGTCCCAGCTTTTTGAAAATTGTTGTGTTGACTTGTTTGTATCATGTCGTATTTGTGTTCCATGTGTGTATTCATACTTCTTAGGTGGCAAATAATCTGGCCAAGAGGAGATTGATCATAATTTTTCAAGAATTGTTTTGGCCACTTGCATCTTCTTGGACTTTTTTTAGTTGCATAATTTGCTTTGTTTGGTGTTTTTGTAATATTGTACCTTGACGTGGTTTTTTATTTTTATTTTTATTTTTATTTTTTGTATTGAAGGGCATCATGACCTTGTTTGCCTGGGTTTGTTGCTCCTCTAGTTCAACATGTTATCCTTGGTTAATCAACAATAACTGTAGTAATAGAATTACTCCGTTTACAACCAACTTGATGGTTGATTCTTGGGATACCAAACCATATATTAGTTATCTCTTATTCCAGTAAAATCTTGATTATTAGGCTATTGAGTGTTATAATCCTTGCAAAGTAAAGCTGGGTAACTAGTAGATAAGCACACTAGGTTGTAGTCAAAAGACTACAACCTAGAAGTTCTGTGCTTAGCTTAGTGTATTTTTTTTTTTTCATAAGACTAAAAGAGGTGTAACCTAGAAAATTTAGTTCTTAGCTTAATATGTTTTTAAATGTATTATCAGTCCTTTTTAGGAAATATTTGGTATAATATAACTGGCTCGAAGTGGACACTATCATTTCTCATGGTGGAATGCATCTATTTCCCCCTTCTTACATTAAGGATTATTGTAATTCCATTTTTTTTTCTTTTTCCAGTTCTGTTGCTTGGTGTGGGAAGCTAAATGCTATAGCATGTGCATCAGAAACTTGCGCGAGAATTCCAAGGTTTGTGTACCAAATTGAACTACTCTTGTTTTTAGTGAAGTACAGCAAAAGTATGTGCTTCTGCCTATGTTAAAAAGGGGTTCTAAGTTCATGTACTTTTGTGTGTGATAATTGACAGTGGGAACACAATGTAAGATGCAGTTCACGATCTTGTTGCTTATATTATTTATATATATATGCGTTACAGAGTGTTGTATTTAGAAAGGTGCAATGCTATGCCTAATGGAGATTCGGAGAATTTCAAATACACAAAGAGGGTTAGAAATTTTACTTGGCTCAAAATCTTCTTCTCTTGGATTGAAAGCTAGGGCTTTGCATGGACCCTTCAATTTTGTAATCACTGAAGGAGGAAAAGAATTTAGTTGAACCACATCTGGTGTATTTTAAAATATGGCCATTCGCTTTGCTTTTGGGTTTCACATCTTCCAAGTGTTTTGTTCGCAAGAGAAGTAGGAGAGAATAGAGGAGTTGCAAAAGTAGCTTCCATTTAGAAGATAGATATCATTGTATCGATAGAACAAGATATGAGATGAAATGTTATTTTTTTTAATGTTATTGACAGAGGGGGCTCACAACAACGGCTCCAAATGAATGTTACTTTTTTATTTTATTTTTATTTTTTATTGCAATATCATCTTACATGGTAAGAGTTTTCCTGCAAGCATTTTGGCTTATGCATTAGTTTTAAAAATAAGATTATTTTGTTGTATTCCCAATTGTATTGTGTTATCTTTGAGTTAGTTCCCTTCCTCAATGCTAAAGCTTCTGTACTTGAAATCAACAGTTTTAAGCCTTATTTTCATCACATATTTCACACCTTATGGGTGGAAAGGTTACTAAAACTCAGAATCATTGCAATCTGATTTTTGTTCAAGCTTTTAATTTCTTGGTTGTTGCCCAATGAACACTTCATTCTGTGCATATTGCAACTGCTTGTATTGCTTGTTAATGGTTTTGTGAATTATATTTATGAGAAATGTATTGGATATGGTTAACTTTCTCTTCATTTTTCTTTTCTTCTTGTAGTTCTAATGCCAATCCACCATTTTGGATTCCTATACATATTGTGATCCCAGAGCGACCAACGGAGTGTTCAGTGTTCAATGTCATAGCAGGTATTTTGACTACTGCTTTGTAGAGGTATTTGTCATTTGGGCTTCTAATCATGAGGCTTTTAAAAAAGGGAAAGGTTACCATGTGCACCTCAAAAAGGGTGCATATGGTGTGCACCTTATACAAAAGGTATAACTTCTACCACAGAATGTGTGACTTTTTGCTCATCACAAAAAATGTAACTTTTTGCTTATCACATAAAGTATAACTTCTACCACAATTCATGACTTTAGGGGAACACACTATAATATCGCCATTCATAACTTTTACCACAAAAATCGTAATTTTTTTTATTATTATGTGCACCTTTTTAGGGGGGCATATTGTAGCATTTCCCTTTGAAAAACTATCTTGTGTTGTATTTAATTTTGGTTGACTCATGGTGCTAACCTTTATCAGTTGTGATGTATGGTAATTTCTGTAATGCAAGGCATTATGTGGCTTACCTTAGAAATATTTGGCAAATTTTTATGCATGCTTAATTTCTTTATTGCCACGTGTGAATGTTAAATTCATAGGCTTATGGAAAAATTTGCTTATCAACTTACCTGGGATCGCAATTAGGGGTGGGCATCATGTCATTGTTGGATCTTGTTCATGTTATGTCATTTCGAATTTGCGTCGTAATTACCTCAATGCTAACCTTACCTGTTTATTATCTTATGTTATTATGTTGTGTTATTTTCGGTCGATGTCTGGTCCATGTCGTGTATGTGTCAAATTTTTTTTATTCTTAGTTAAAAGTAACATGTGTACGAAAATATTCAAAATTTTCTCTACAAGTTAAATTTAATGAAATTAATCTCTATTAGATGAATTCATTCATAAAAATATTTGATTTAAACTCAATTTCATTTCCCTAATTTACAAAAACCATATCCTATTATTATATATTTTTTAAACTAGTTTAACACTAAAATAGTAGACAAAAAATACATTATCTTCAATTAAAAACAAAAAAAGATTCTATTAGCCTTAAAATCTTATTTTACGTACTTTTTTAATCAGTTGGATTGAGTTATGCAAGGAATTAAAAAATGTCATGGCACCCCTTAATGAAAATAACATTAGAATGTGTAAATAATTTTCTTCAAACATGTAATCCGTGTCAAGTTTGTGTCATGCAGGTTCAACAGTAACATGACATGTCCTATTCATGTTCGTGTTGGAAAATGACCAATCCTAACTTGCTAACTTTGTGTATGGTTCAAGTCATGTTAGTGTGTCATGTCAAAAATTCCCACCCTTAATAGCAATCAAATAATTTTGGTGTGCGTGGGACAACAATTAGTAAATCTGTAATTTGTAGTGCTTATTTTGTCAATTTATTTGACGCTAAAGTAAGGCACTTACTTCTTGGAATTTGTAACGCCTCGGTATTCATACCATATAATTTGTTACCAAACCATTATTATTGTCCAATTTCAACTCTCATGTGAACAATAAATAAACAATAACAATTCAATAAACTGAACTCGTCACATTCTCACGTATTCCTCTTCGAGTTCATTGTGATAATTTACAACGCACTGTATTATAAAATGTACATCAAAATTGTCATAAGGGCTTTCACCTTTCAAGACTAAGGGCCTTGATTTCGACAAATAAAAGCCTAACTCGACAAATAAGCTCGATAGCTGTAGGCAAACAACATTAAAGAAGCTTCAGTGCTCCATGTTGAACTCCATCCACTTTTCAACAATAACAAGGTTCACCTTTATCACCTGGAATTTTACGATATCCAGCCTATAAAAAGGGAGTGAACTTTTACACCCAGTAGGAAGTAAACTTAACATAACCAAATATGATTAACATGCATATGATCAATATGATTATGCTATGCAAAGTCATGCCATGTTTACGACCTAACTCTGTTTGGAAAACCAAATTCTAAAATACATGATTTGTAACCCACGTTGACTCAACTCATTAACTATTATCATAACCAAGAACTTTCGTTTTATAACAAACTCTCCGTAAGATACCTCAAAATACTCCCAATATTTATTGGCCGCCAAGCACAGTAGAGTAAGTGGGCACCTCTTACTTTTTGAAAACCTCTACATTTATTGGCCACCAAGCATGGAGAGGCAATTGGACACCCATTTTATTTTCAAAACATCTCTACATTTTCCGGCCACCAAGCATGGAGGGGCAATTGGACACCCATCAATCATTTCAACCTTTCCCCCAAATTTATCGGCCACCGAGCATGGAAGGGCGATTGGGTACCTTTATGAAATTACCAATGACATCCCCACATTTTCCGGCCATCGAGCACGGAAGGGCAATTGGGTACCTTTACACACACACAACGCATTTCGGAACCACAGACACTCCTTTAAATAATCCAGTATTTAAACCAACACCATGGAAATGCAATGCAACGCATGAGTTTTCCAAACCTTCCTCTTTATCTCGAAATTTCTTTTAATTACACAATAATTCAACAAATAAAAACTAACGAACTATTCTCCTTTTCCCGCTCCAAGTTCTACACTTTACCGACCATCATCCCATGCAAACATTACTCTACATCATTCCAACATTTCAAATGTTCACACAATTCAACTTATTTAATTCACCAATAATATCTTCATAGACAATAAATTTATCTAACACTTATTAACATGAAAAATCACTTTAATTTTCAACATAAGGTACCGATTAACTCAAACCCTCTTTTAATTTAAAAATCCCAATTCTAGGGTTTTCAATAAAATTGCTGGTTTTCCTCATTTCTTTGTTAAATCCTCAAATCATCAAGTATTAACCATCAAAGTACCAAAACCTTCTAAATATTTCAAAGGTTTGGGCGAAAACCCCAGTTTTTTTAATATAAACATCTTTTTAATCAAAGATTTCAAGCTCAAGTCAACCCAAACTTCCATAATACAATCATAATCAACCTAAATCTTAAAAGATTAGAGTTAAGAGAACTCCCTACCTCAACAATGAGAGCTAACAAGGAAAACCCAAGCAAAAATTTTTGCGAAATCGCAATCCAATCAGTCAAGAGAAAGATCTTCACTTCTCCTTCACTAATCTTGCATGATCTAATGGGGATCCTTGGTATAATGAGGTGAAATCAAAGGTTTTAGTGCTAGGGTTTTCGGTCATAGAGGAGTGAGAGAGAGGAAAGTGAGAGAAAGTGAGTAAAAAGTGGGTTTTATATTGGTTGATCTTGAACAGACCACTCGAGCACAAGGAGTGTCGCTAGAGTGACCAGACACAATAAGTGGGACCGCTCAAGCGCACAAAGTGACCGCTTGAGCGAAGAATATCAACTCTCAGAAGTTTTACAAACAGAGGACCATCGCTCGAGAGCAAGAAAGACTGCTCGAGCCAACACCGCTCGAGCGCAAGAAATACCGCTCAAGCAAAGAATGCCATCTCTTAATATTTGTGCAGACCTGCAAAAGTGCTGGAAGCTCACAAAGACCGCTCGAGAGCACAATTCGACGCCCGAGTGAAGAGAAAAAATAAAAATAAAAATTTCTAGAGTGTTACAAAATTTGAGTTGTCACCCATGCTTTGAGCTTTGAATTATCAATGAGGAGCCTGTGTTTATTTGGAAATTGGAACATATCAGTCATTTACTAACTCAATTACCATTGTTATAATCATCATCAGTGTTGTCATCATTTTTGTAAATATTATCACTAAATATTGTATTTGTTTAGGTTTATCATGGCAATCCATTATTTGTTATGCTTTATGGTGAGTTGTTGCGCTTATATTCACAATTCTAGTTCTGCAAATTAATCAGTTGCACTGGATTCCTTCTACAGATTCTCCTCGTGATTCTGTTCAGTTCATGGAATGGTCACCTACCTCTTGTCCTCGTGCCTTGCTAATAGCTAATTTCCATGGGCGGATAACTGTTTGGACTCAGCCTTCTGAAGTAAGCTAGCATCGTTGGAATATTTTCCACAAATACTTAGGCAGTGGCATTTGTTTCTATTGGCATTCCATACTCTTGCCGCATCATGTTTTGAACATGGATATTTTAGCATTCAACCAAAAGAAAATTAGCTAATATATTAATAAAGAAAATGTTGGATAGCTTGATATACATTGTTAGGCCCGTTTTCTAATATTTTAACCTTTTGGGACAATTGGTGACTTAACATGGTATTAGAGCTCAAGTTGAGAGAGGTTTTGGGTTCAAGTCTCGTCATTGGCATTTTGTTTTTTATCCCCATTTGGTTTCTTCTTCTCCGTTTGGTTGTTTGTTTTCCCTTTTGTTTGGTTCTCTGATTGTCTCTCCACGTGCAAGATGGGGTTGCACGTGAGGAAGGGTGCTATATAGCTTGATATATATTGTTGGACCTATTTCCTAACAACCCAAGCTTTTGGTACAAGAAAAACTGAAGTAAACAAAGTCTCTAACTACATATCACGTGCTACCCTCTAATCTCTTGAAAAAAAAAAAACATAAAATAGGAATCCCCTAAAGGAGTAGGATATTGAGGCCCAAAAGATGACAAATAACAAACTTTACCACATAAAGAATTAACATCCTCAATCTTGTCCTAAAAAATTCTTGCATTTTGCTTAAAAAACAAAATGACCCAAAAATTGCAGAGAAGACGCAATCCTACAATACTTTTGCATTCTTGTTTGAAAAATGCCATTAATCATGAGACTGTTATGAGTCAATGTCTACATAAAAAATCTTAACTTGAAGAGGCACAACTGCTTTCTAGATTCTTTTATGATGATGGAAGCGAGGAACGCTTGCGTTATCAATGATTTTGTCGAAAAAAACTTTTGTGAGAATAACCCTAGAGATTGAGGTAACCACACCCTCTTATCACAAATATTAGGCCTCGAGGAAAATTCATGAAGAATATAGCCAACAAAGATGCCAATTCACTTGCTCCAAAATTATTGAGAGTTCTAAAAAAAATTAACATTCGATGAGATCGGAGCCAAATGGGAAAAATCCATGGAAGAAATGGAAACGTCAGGAGAAGAAATGAGGGAATGAAACATCAAAGAAGTATCACCCTGGGCTTCTTCACCTCTTCTCTCTCTCTCTCTCTCTCTCTTGCTGTTGTTGATGCGGGGCCATGCACTAAAACACTCAACCATTTTCTCCCTTTTCCTCAATGGACTTTCACTCATTGTTGAGCTCACTTTTAAGGCTTACTATTCAGGGCCTGCCTAATCCAGTTAGAGATGCAAGTTGCTGGCAGCGGGAGCATGAGTGGCGGCAGGATATTGCAGTTGTTACAAAGTGGCTATCAGGATTGTCTCCAGTAAGCATTTGTTTATTTGTCTCTCAGTTATTTTAGTTTGTAAACCCTTGCATCTTTGACTTTTATTTCTTCTTCTGTACTTGTAAAATTAGTATAGGTGGCTTTCCTCAAGATCCAGTAGTTCCACAAACTCAAAGTCAGCTTTTGAAGAAAAATTTCTTTCACTGCAACCTCAAGCTCCAGGTTAGTACTTTGTCTTCTGTGTGCTTATTATGCATTCATAATTGCTGCGCCCATGGATGGTTTTGTTTGATTTGAACTGATATACAAGCTGTGGTTTTACGATTATTTCTTTTGCAGGGCCTTGTAACTAAATGGCATGTATGACTATTGTTGTTTATCCCCTTGTTATGGAGAAAATGGATCAAATTACACTTGCATGACAAGATTATAACGGTATTAAGCTAAATTAGCTAATCCATTTTTTTGCTGGTGCTTTAGCATGATGGAACATGAAGAGGGGACTCCATTTTGTGTGGTTGCAAAGCACACATAGGTTTCAACCTGAATATTTCACTCTATAAAATCCAAAAAGACTTTGTGACACAAAAGAAAAAGAAGGCCTTCCTAGACCTATCTTCCTTAATGATGAGGAAATGTTGCATTTGATTAAGGTTCTTACTTTTGGGTTTCATATTAACTTCAACTAGATAATTCCTACCTAGATCGTTTTTTAGTATCAGCTACATTTTTAATAATGATAATAAGTGCTGTGGTGTGGCCACCTTGGTAATCTGATGAGGACCATATAATCAGCTCAACTTTGTGTGCATTCAAGCAAAGAAGTGTCCCATTGAACTTCTGAAGCTAAGTTCTAGGACATTGTTTTAAAGTTTTTTGAGTCTTTGTTGTTTCACACAACATTTCTTCATTGCTAAGAGTTTTTAATTCAGATGGAGTCCCCATATATGTCTTCTTTGCTGATGGATAAGAATGACAAAGAGGTATATTTTTCACTACCAGTTAGAATAGAAGCCAATTGAGATTTGCAGCTAAATACTCGTAATTGAGTTGATCTTGGCTATTGTTGTGGAAGTTTCTAATGTAGGTTAACTTTATGAAACTTGGCCTAATATTGCCTACAGTTGGACAGGGTTTTAGGTAAGTTAAAATCTAGGGTTAGAGTTTTAAGAGGTAAAAGAAGGTTTCTAGAGTTTTTCAATGGAAAAGATGAGTCCCGGCTTGAATTTTTAAAAGTTGCAGGAACTTAGAAAATATGAAGAAGAAGAACTTAGAAAATATGAAGAAGAAGAACTCCGAAAATATGAGGAAGAAGGAATATATTTCTGTTATATTCAAAACTTCTTATCTTACAAGACCAAATGACACTCCTTATATAGGAGATATTACAAACATCATCATAACCCATTATATGCCACTTACATATTATATATTACCACTATCTACCACTATCATATTATATACATGCCACTATCTACCACCAACACCACTATCATATTCTATACATGCCACTATCTACAACCAACACCACTATCATATTCTATACATACCACTATCTACCACCAACACCACTATCATATTCTATACATGCCACTATCTACCACCAACACCACTATCATATTATATGCATGAACACAATTTCCAGCACAGGATTTTCAGAAAAAAAGTAGTGATGGAAGCTTTGGATAATAATGATTTATGGGGTTTTGGTGGTTAATTCAAAGGCCAAGGGGCAGAGTAAAGGGTTTAGGGCTTGTTAGGTTTGAACTTTGGGAAGGTCTGTAAGTATCCAAATTCTGTCCGTTGCATGAATAGCTTATTTTAAATTGGAATGAGGAACGATTTATCGTGATGCAATGATACAAAATCATGGAAGACAAATAACTATATTTTGGAGAAATAGATACTTGGGGCAAATGCGGAATAGGATATCAACTACAAGACATATCCACTAACAAATATCATTATGTAGGTTATAAGTTTTAAGACTATGACATTAAGAAGAAGAAACAGATGAGTTTGAGGTGGAGTGTGAAGTGGATTTATGCATGACACATGATATGGGAGTAGCAAGAATCACAAATAATTGATATTTAAGAAGAGAATTGTAAGAATTTATGTATTTATTGATTGATTGATCTGATACATTGATGTATTACAAGATTGATTAATTACAATTCCTATACAATCTATATATAGAAGAAAATGTGGTAGTAGGTGTAGTGGAGGTGATAGTGGGTTAGGTGAAGTGGAGTGTGTGGTGAAGTGGAGGTAGGTGAAGTGGAGTGTGTAGTGGAGTAGGTGAAGATAAAGATGGGAAATTCTAACAAGAATGTTGTACATTGTTACAGGTGATTGTTCTTGTATTGCACCTTGTGTTAGAAAATTGACATGATCTAGCTAGCTTAGAAGTCTCAAATAGAACTTTCAGTAAAGAGAACTTTTGGAAATTTTTAAAGGGCCATGTTGGATGGCAAGGATCTCAATTATTGAGGGACTATTAGGTTTCTTATCTAGGCTTTAGGCAACAGAGGGTCTTAAGCTAGTTCTTGGAGGTGTTTGGTGTGCCATCATTTCTAAGATTTGACCTAATCTATTGGAGAGAGATTTAGGGGATGAAGTGTAGATGGTGGTCTTGGCATGAAGATTGAGAAAGTGTTGAACCCATTGAGTTTTTTATGGCTATTCATCAGGGGTGATGGATGTGGTAAGGATCTCTGATGTAGCCTGGACTTTTTGAATAGCAAAGTGAAAGGATTATAATGATGTCTACGCTATTGTGATTTTTCATTGTGAATATGGAGAGTTTTGGAAATTTGACATATTTTTAGGTGAGGAAAGTGGAAAATCTTCTTTTGATCCCTATTGTTGGGGTGCTGATGACACCGAGACAACTTCTCATCAATAGCTTACCATGAAAAAGTTTTGCTTATCCCTTGTGGATATGCCTGGCCTCTAGAACTTTAGGATTGGACAATCATTGCAATTGAGCTCGTTTAGATGATCTTAAGGTGGACCAAAGAATGGTTGTTTGAGCTCAAGGAGTTCTTTATCTGTTTAGTTAGTTGGGTGGGTTCACTGTGTAGAGGTTTCTTGTTGTTGATTTCTTTGTTATGTATTTATACTATGTGGAGTTCATCAGCCATCTTTGCTCTCATTCCTTGTTCTTCCCATGTGGACTTGCTTGCCTCCTTCTTGAGGCGATCTCTCATATAGTTGGTGTGTTTCAGATCTTAGCCTCAGGGGCTTTATGATCTTGATGTAGGAAGCTCAATCTGTTTACCCTTGTTTGATATTGGAAGCCGTGGTGATGGAGGTACACCTAGAGTTTTTGAGGTTGAGCCTTTTTTTGTTTCATTTGATGTGCCAAGAATCGAATGTTTTCTAGGGTTGGTCCTTGTTGCTGCCTGTGCTCTAAAGGATTTCTTATGCTTGCTTGTGCAACAAATGGGAGGGCATTGTTCTCTCTTAGAGATTTCTCTTTTCTTGGATTTAATATGATACCTATTTTAACACTTGGGGTATCCCTTCTGCAATTTGCTTTAATGAATTTCAAGTCATCATGATGTGGAACGAGGTGGAATTGGATTAAGGAATATTACATATTATGGATTTAATAATTAATTTTGGCACTATATTATATTTCTGAAGTAATTGAGTTTTATTTTTGTTAATTTTAGTAAGGATTTTTTTTGGATGCCTATAAATAGGTCTTTATGCAATACGTTTTGGACAGACTATGAGATTGATTTGAGCTTGGATATCGAGAATATTATGAGTTTTGAGATTTAGGGTTTCTTTTATTTTCTTGTAATCGGTCTTTCTCTTTTATTTTACTTTATTTTCTTTGGATACTCCATTTTTGCTGGCCATCTGGCATCCACATCATCCTTTAAATACAAGTAAAGCGAAAAAAACGCCTCCGAACTTTTACATTTGTCGGAGAACCTGGAAATTTGTTCTTTCTGGTCTCTTGCCAATCAAGAGGTCAATGATTCAAGAAGAGGCTCTCCCTAATTGGCTATTATGAGACAGAATGACCGGGGGGGGGTGTGTGTGTGTGTGGGGAAGGCTTGCAACTGCAAACCAGCCTAGCTGTGAGTAGGAAGGTTCTTTGCAGGCATAACCTGGCTTTGGTCTTGGTTGGATCAATGTAAGTTTGAAATTTACCATTAGTCCCCAGAGCCATGTGGAGTCTGCTGTTTCCAGTAGCCTAATATGGCTTATCTTAAACCTTTACATTTGAACTCATGGTTAATTTATGTTACCAGTGATTAACATTGGAGTGGAAGGGTGAAAGTCATCATTTATCTTGTGATGGTGCTCTGTTGTTTGTTGTCATCAGCGGTTGTAACTTACTAATTGATGTGGTCTCTTGTATTTATTAGTTTAAGAATGTTAGATCTTCTTATCTGATGCAATTTTGGGGTTTTGATTTCAGCTGGGTGGCCAAATTTTCTTTGTGTCTGCTCTGTTTTCTCTTCGGGATCTGTTCAACTCCACTGGTCTCAGTGGCCTCTTAATCAGAGTGGTGCTGCATCAAAATGGTATTGCACAAGCAAAGGGCTTTTGGGAGCCGGACCAAGTGGGATTATGGCTGCTGATGCTATTATAACAGATGCTGGTGCCATGCATGTGGCAGGTGTTCCAATTGTAAATTGGAAGCCGCGGGAGATGAGACCTTTGAGCTCAGGGCAGACTCGAAGTTCGCGTACTGGTCCGTTGACTTATCCCATGTGGGATTGAGGAAACAATCCAAAGATTGCTCCGGCGAGCAAGTCATCTCCTGGGATGAAAACAGAGTCTGCCAGTTTTGCACCGGCGATGGTTCGAAGTGCACACCAGCACTGAGAAAGTACTCTTTGTCCATGGCAAACGATGGAATAGTATATGAATGAAGAAAAAGAGGGAGAAAGAGGTTGAAGATGAGGAAACAAAGAAAGAAGAGTGTCTGGTATGTGTTGAAAAATTCCAGCGGGCAGCGAAGGCAAGGTTGCCGACCGGCTGCCCGCCGGAAAGAAAAGGAGTATAGGCCTAAATCTTATAGCTCTGATACCATGTGAAAATAAATTGATGTATATGAAAATAAATTGATGTATACTATTGATTGATTTATTTTTGTATACAATGACTCTCCTATATATAGAAGAGAAAAACATATTCACCTACCACACTCAACTCTCACTTAACACACTTACATCTACCTACCACACTCAACTCTCACCTAACACACTCAACTCTACCTACCACACTTACAATGTTACCAGTGATTAACATTGGAGTGGAAGGGTGAAAGTCATCATTTATCTTGTGATGGTGCTCTGTTGTTTGTTGTCATCATCGGTTGTAACTTACTAATTGATGTGGTCTCTTGTATTTATTAGTTTAAGAATGTTAGATCTTCTTATCTGATGCAATTTTGGGGTTTTGATTTCAGCTGGGTGGCCAAATTTTCTTTGTGTCTGCTCTGTTTTCTCTTCGGGATCTGTTCAACTCCACTGGTCTCAGTGGCCTCTTAATCAGAGTGGTGCTGCATCAAAATGGTATTGCACAAGCAAAGGGCTTTTGGGAGCCGGACCAAGTGGGATTATGGCTGCTGATGCTATTATAACAGATGCTGGTGCCATGCATGTGGCAGGTGTTCCAATTGTAAATCCATCAACTGTTGTTGTTTGGGAGGTCACACCTGGCCCTGGAAATGGATTTCAAGCAACTCCAAAGTCAAGTATAAGCATGGGGGTCCCACCTTCACTTAATCCTCCTTCTTGGGATGGTTTTGCTCCTTTGGCTGCTTATTTGTTTAGCTGGCAAGAATATTTTATATTGGAAGCAAAGCAAGGGAAAAAGCACACAGATCAAGATTATAGTGATATGGTATCACTTCATTGTTCACCAGTTTCAAATTTTTCTGCATATGTGAGTCCTGAGGCAGCAGCTCAATCAGCAACAACCACTACATGGGGTTCTGGAGTTACTGCAGTTGCCTTTGACCCAACTCATGGTGGTTCTGTGATAGCTGTAGTGATAGTTGAGGGTACTGACTTGTATTTTGCTTCAAAACTGAACTTTTGTTTTGTTTTGCCCCCTTTCTCTACCTTGTTATTCTATATCATGATGAGGAAACACTTGTCTACTGTCTATACATTTATTGTGTAATACAAATTTACTCAGGGATTATTACAATTAAGGCATAAATTGACAAACTACTTATCAGCAATTCTGTTAAATGGAAAATTTTCTTCTGAAGTCTATGTATGAGAATTTATTTAAAGGCTAGCTGGGTAACAGAAGATTTTTTAATGCTACCTTCATCACCTTAGTTGTCAAAATTTCATTTACCATGTCAGATCAGTTCTCACATGCATTCCAAAATGTAACCCAGTTTGGATACTTGCAACTTTTTAGTTGCAGTAAAATTTGCTTGATTATTGATATACATATTTATTTATTTATAATTTGTAAATGATGATTCTGTATTGCTTTAAGATTGGTTTCATGTATGTTGTGGCTATTAGATTTTGTTTACTCATTCACACTATCACACAAATAGTATACTATTTATCTTCTGTACTAAACAATTAAAACTTCCCCAGGCCCTGCACTGGTGGGAGCCTTGTGTGCTGAGACTGCCCCTTTTAGCAAACAATTAGAAGTTCATTGCAGATTTATGGCTTAATTTTGGTAGTTATGTCCACTCCCTTGTTTTGGTAGGAGTTCAAAACTAATCATATCTTGATTTTATCTATGCAGGGCAGTACATGTCCCCGTATGATCCAGATGAGGGTCCTTCAATCACAGGTTGGAGAGTCCAACGTTGGGAATCATCTCTTAAGCCTGTTGTCCTCCACCAGATATTTGGAAACCCCACCTCCAGTTTTGGCGGGCAGCCTCCCATGCAGACAGTTTGGGTAACCACGGTAAACAAATGCATTCCACCAACTAATGATTTCAAAATTCACCAAGCTTCTGTGCCTGGAGCATGTTCTGATGCAAGAAACACATCTGATTTTGGTATCGAGAAGACAAAAAGGGTCTGTTTTTATCCGTTTGATCTTCCAAGTGATGTTAGATCTCTTGCTCGAATTGAGTATTCTGCTCATGGGGGTGAGATTGCTGTTGCTTTTCTACGAGGTGGAGTTCAGATTTTTTCTGGTGCAAGCTTTGTACCTGTTGATAACTACCAGATTAATGTTGGTAGCGCTATTGCTGCTCCTGCCTTCTCATCTACAAGCTGCTGTTCAGCATCTGTTTGGCATGATACCAGCAAGGATCGTACTATATTGAAGATAATTCGTGTTCTTCCTCCTGCTGTTCCGAGTAGTCAAGTGAAAGCAAACTCATCAAACTGGGAGCGTGCAATTGCAGAGAGGTACCTTACAAAATGGTTTTATATAGTTTTAAAATAACTTTGATATCTGATGTAGTAATGCTTTATTGCTTTTGATGTTGCTGCGTCAACTATGTCAGATGCATGTTGGGTTGGAGTTATTCTACCATGGCAAGGAAGTAATGCCTTTTTATCTGTACTTAATATAAACTATCTTGTTTTGTGAGAGCAGGTTCTGGTGGAGCTTGTGGGTTGGAGTTGATTGGTGGGATGCCATTGGCTGTACACAGAGTGCTGCTGAGGATGGCATTGGTAAGATGTTTAAATTATTTTATATACTCCCTCCGTCCCAAAATATTAGTCCGTTATTTTATTTTTCATTGTCCCAAAATATTAGTCCCTTTTCAAATATCAAGGACAAAAATTATATGAATTTTCTATTTTACCCTTCTTTTAAATTCATTAATAACATAAAAAGTATAATTATGACAATTGATATTCCTCAAAAAATGTACTATCAAAGGGTAATTTTGGAAAATTAATTTTTTTAAAGTGTAATACTTGTGTTACCAAAAAAAGTTGAATTCCCCAAAAGGGACTATTATTTTGGGACGGAGGGAGTGTATATATATATATATATATATTTTGGTATCATGAATTGAAAAATTAATTTTACTAATTGTGAATCAAATCGAGTTGAGAATCGTTGAGATTTAGTTCAAACTCTAGAAAACAATGTTAAAAAGTTCTATATATAAAAAAAAAAAAAAAATGAAACAAATTGGTTTTGTCATATGTTATGAAACAGTTCTTATATAAGGACGTGATTATCCCGTCTAATTGGGAAAACATTGGCTTTATGCGGGTCCAAATCCCACCAACTATAAATTTTTTAACAACGATAATATAATCTCTGTTGACATTTAAAAAGTGACCTACAAACTCTATATAGAGTATAATAAGAAGAAATAATTAACTGATTTTTTTTTAAATTTTAAAATCTAAGACAATTTAAAAGGAGGGTATAGTTATTGTTCAAAAAAAGTTTTACAAAAAAAGGAGAAAAAAAAAAGAAGAAGAAAAAGAAGTGGAATCATTGGGTTGATTAACCTTATCAATGTAATATTGAACCGTATTTATTTCACTAAAAAATCATTAGATAATTTATGGGTGCAAGTTACTTTAACCTTAAACATCTTTGGAGGATGCATTATGACATTTTTAAGAACATGTTGGGTCTAACAGGATTTGATTGCATCCTATGAAAAACTCTCTGATTACCAAAATAACAACAAATCATGTATAAGTAATGGTTATTTTCGTAGAAATTGTATTATGTCATTTTTACCAAAAAAAGAGGTAAAAAAAAGACAGTTTAATTATATCGGACACGATAATTTCAAGAATTACATGAATCTTAAAAAGTGATCGAATTTTGAATGATTGTGAATCGTGCGATTCACCATAGATTCTACTTGAAAATAAATTCACCCATGGATTTGTATTGATTTTTGATAAATCGTGAATCAAATCATGAATTGATTCGCAAATCTAAGATTCTGATAACATAACACTGTGTACATTAGTAAGGTTAGTTGTTAGTGTTGGCATATTATAATCACCGAAAGTCACTTAGCATATTATATTAGCCGAAAGAGTCTGTAATCATTTTTTATGCACTTAGGGATCATGGGAGCAACACAAGGATATCAAATTCCTCTCCATAAGATTATATATATTACTACCTATAAAAAAAATTATTTCAAATGGTAGTGTGATTAATGATGATGCAATGCTACAAAAGCTCTCTAATAAACAAGAAGATTGCGTTTGGTAGAGTTTTAGAATTATGATTTGAGAATAGAGTTGTATTTTGAGTTTGTGAGTTTTGGAATTATGATTTGAGTGTGAAAAATTTGTTTGGTTATGAATTTTAAAAAGAGTTTGAATTGAGTGATGTGACATATGATATTGAAAAGTTGGTGTTTTGAAAAATGGGTGTGAAATTAATATTCTAAAGCTGTAACCAAACAATGCACTCAAAGTAAGGGATAAAATTAAATTTCAAAAACCCCACCAAACATAGCCGAAGTGTTTCTCTAACACTAAACTCAACATAAGGAAGGTCTAATTGTTTGAGGTGTAGAGAACTGTCCCATTTAAAGATAGCTAAAGCTTTATAATTCCATGGTAGGTAATATTGATGAAGCTACGGCGAAGGTTCCCTACTCAAAGATATAAAGGAAAAAAAAAAAGAAGAAAAAATACAATTTCCTTCCTTTTGAATTAAATGGCTTCATAAGAATCGATGAAATAATAATATTTTAAATGTGGTAATGGTTTAACTCATGGGGGACTTACGTGTAGGTCTCAGTAGGTGGGTTTATTGTCCAATAGGTTCTATGATAATTAATGGCATTTTCATCAAACACTACTAAAAAATGTCAGTAATTGTTAATTTTCAACAATAATTTGAAAATTTTGTTATAAAAAAAGCCACTAATTATAAGTTTTAGCAACAGTTTAAAAAAAAATTGTTACAAAAAAAGTCACTAATTTTAACTTTCAGCGATAGTTTGAAAATTTTGTTATAGAAAAACATCACTAATTGTAAGTTTTGGCGATAATTTATAAAAACTGAAATAAAAAAAAGTCGCTAAATGTCAATTTTTAGCGACATGTGCAAAAAAATTGTCACAAAAAAATATTTTTTCTAACGATTTTATTAGGATTTATTTTCAATAGGACTTGATGGGAATTAAGTCCAACTATTAGGACCTATTGGTAGTTTAATCTTTACTCATTTATCACCTCTAAAAGGTTTGTTTCCTTTCTAGTCTTGTCTAGCTTGTAATTGTGATTTGGCTGTTGAGAGTACTACTTTTCAAGTAGTAGTTAATATTTTGAAGCAGGGTTGTTGACCACACACCTCTTATCACACCTTTAAGATATAAAAATAGAATAGATATAGTTGCACCTTCTTATATCATGTGCTAGACATAAATGTTTATGTTTCCTGAAATCATTTAGTAGCTTTTATATTCTTTTTTATTGTCCTTTTCCCATTCTTCTTGATCTGATATGGATCAGGGGTAGTCTAGTGTTCATCCAGTGATGCCATAGTCTTGTGGGTGTCTAAACAAATGCAATTGGTACTGGACTGGAAGCCTAAAAAAAAATGAAGTAGCCTTTTTGATCAAAAGTGAAGTGTCAAGGGTAGCATGGAGTTCTTATTTATGTTTATTCTAAGTTAGCATGTTGTTGCTCACATAAGCAAAGAGTATTTTTGATAAATATAGAGTTTTCTGGATATGGACTGCGCTAGTGGTCCATGGGCCTTATTTTGGGTTAAATTATGTTATTCCGTCTCTATGTGGTCTTAGGCTTAGTAGAGTCAATGTTGTTGGGTTGTGACAAGTGCCATCTTCCCCAACGCTATGATGTGGGTTTGAGTCATGGGACGTAGCCTCTCCATAAAAAAAAGTAGGTGTATGGTTGCCTGGCTATAACTTCGAACCAGAACCGTTGTAAGCAAGAGCCTTGTGCATTGGCCCCGGCATTTTTTGATATTAATTGTCAAGGGAAAATCCTAGCTGCCTATGCATGCCTGTGTAACCTTTCCATTTAATCAGGCTTGAGTTTTAGAGAGCTTGTGCATTGGGTTTTACCATTCTAAATTTTCTAAGGCTGTCTTATGTGCAATTTACTCTCATTCAGTACATCTGGTTCAAACTATTTCGGCTTGTGCATTGTCAGAGGTTTTAGATTCATTTTGTCCATCCTTTACTCCATGGGGTTTTAGGGCGATTTTGTCTGATTTATGTTTGTTTTGCCCTCTGATATGCCTTCTTTAAGTATCATGTAATACTTTAATGGAAGACATTATTTTCAGAAAGAAAGTTTTGCCAATGAATGGCAGATAAATGAAATGATGCCGAATGTAGACCTTAACAGTTCAATCTTTTGAGTGTGGCTCCTAAGAAACTATTTATAAATGGGATATCTTGAATATGCATCTTGAGGGAACTCTCAATGTTGTCTGATGTGCTTTTACCTCTTGTAAACTGTTCACGAAAGTGCCTTTTTTGTTTTGTGTATTTTTTGTTTGCTTCAGTTTCACTGAACGGTGTTATTGCGGTGTTGGATGCGGATTTCCACTCTCTTCCTTCAATTGAGCATAGGCAACAGCATGGCCCTGTATGTCTCGATGAACTATTGCCAAATCCTTGTCTCATGTTTATACTGAAGTAATTATCTCCATCATGGATATATGAATATGTTGAATTGTTCAGAGTGTCTCTGGAGTTTGTCCTTCTACAGCATCCTTATCAGACCCTGTCAATTCCTTAGACATTATTCCAAGCAAAGTTTATACTTCCAACTATTCTATTCATCAACCTCTTCACAATATCCTTCTTATAACATCATCATGAGCAAAAATCAACTTGTAGCTTGATTTAGAAAATCTGTGCTAAAGTATAGGGTATTGGACGAGATAGGATTAACAAAAGTTCTCTCAGTCTGTACATCTGGTTCCATTTTGGTACCAGTCTCTGAGTTTTCCACCAATTTACCTACTTTTGTGTCTAATACTCGCATTTATTGGTTGGACTAAATTGCTTTCTTCCAATTCATATAAGATGACCCCCTCCCCCCAACACACCCTAGAAGAAGCAGAAAATTATTACTTACATTTAGAATCCACTTAATTATGTGGCTTTATATTTAGAATTACTTATTTAGTTGACCTGATTCTTGTATAATACAGAGCCTAGACAGAATAAAATGCCGGCTATTGGAAGGTGCAAATGCTCAAGAGGTTAGGGCATTGGTTTTAGATATGCAAGCAAGGTTGTTGTTGGATATGCTGGGCAAAGGTATCGAATCAGCTTTGATTAATCCTTCGGCTTTGGTTTCTGAGCCTTGGCAAGAATCTGGTGTGAAGTTATCTGGCATTGATCCTGAAGCTATGGCTGTCGATCCAGCACTAGTTTTAAGCATCCAGGTTTGCTTCGGTTTCTTTTCCATTTCCATCGATTTGCTGGCCCCTTTTTTTTATTTTTTATTTTTTCTTAACATATGATACAAACATGATGTCTCCCGGAGTTGTTTTTCTAATTGTTGGAGCAATATAATGCAGGCTTATGTTGATGCAGTCCTTGACCTAGCATCACATTTTATCACACGCTTGCGACGTTATGCTAGCTTCTGCCGTACGTTGGCAAGTCATACAGTTACTGCAAGTACTGGTGGCAATCGGAGTATGGTTGCTAGTCCTACCCAAAATTCTGTGTCTCCTGCTACAAGTCAGGGTCAGTGTGCAGCATATCTTCTAATTCAAGAATATTAAAGGATTGTTGCATAATTCTGGTTTCAATTGGCCAGTGAAAATTGTGGCAACTTTCATTAAACTGGTGGAATGCTCCATCTATTTTATATATTTATTTTTTAACTCTCTGTATGTGGCTGTCTTGTATGAGTCATATCTACAAAAATGTAGCTTCATGTTTTGCCAGGTGGTCAAGGTGATACCACTAGTTCTACTGGAAGCACACAGATGCAAGCTTGGGTTCAAGGAGCTATTGCTAAAATCAGTAATGTCGGTGATGGAGTTTCGAATTCAACTCCAAACCCCATAACCGGTCCGCCATCATTTATGCCTATAAGTATTAACACAGGAACTTTTCCGGGAACTCCAGCAGTTAGGCTCATTGGGGACTGCCATTTCCTTCATAGATTGTGCCAGCTTTTGCTTTTCTGTTTTTTCTTTCGACGAACGCAACTACCTCGCTTTATTGGGAGTGCTCAGAGAAATGCTAATTCAAATATGCAAAAACCTCAGCCTGCTGCTCCTGGGAAGGTGGAAGAGATCAACTCTATACCTACAAAACCAATATCTGGTATGACGAGGTCGGAAGAAGTGCAGGCAGCTCGGGCTGGTCAAGTCGTCTCTGGAACAAAAGGACCTGAAGAAGGTCCAGCTAACCGATCAAGATTAGGTTCTGGTAATGCTGGACAAGGTTACACATTTGAGGAGGTAAAAGAGGATCCTACTATAATTTGCATTCATGATAAGTGTTTAAATAAAATCAAGTATCTGTTTCATTTGGCTAAAACTAAAAAGGCAACTTATTTTTGTCTTCTTTGAACTTTTTTCAACTTTGAGTGAAAGTTTTTTACTTTTTAGGTCCATCTTGATGACGATTCTAAAAATTACAAAAAAAAAAAAAAAAGAAAAAAAGAAAAAAAAGTGAATTTTGAAAAAAATGAAAATAAGCAAACTTTTATTAAAAAAATCTTTTTTTTTTTTTTGATCAACAACAAATAACTTTATTGATAAATCAAAAAGGAAAGTAAACGAGGATGATGCATTCTCTTACAAAGAAAAGGAAAAACACAAAACAAAGGCCTAAACAAGAAAACACAAATGCAAAAGCCTACATATCACACATTGTCAACCAATCTCTAGCTAACAAAAAAAGGAGGACCCCCTTAAAAAGAGGATTCCCTGAAACCCAAAAAGAAGTTAAATGGCAAACACAATTCCACAAACAATCTATCCTTTGAGATTTATCTTCAAACACCCTCGCGTTTCTTTCCAACCATAGAACCCAAAATGTTGCAATGACTGCACAAGACCAAAGCAATTTGGCTCTCTTCGATCCTCCAATAGCGCAAAAGTCAACTTGGAGCGTATGCGCTGTGCTTTGCTGAGCTACCCATATAATATTCCCCAACAAAAATAACTTTTGCCATAGAAACAAAGCTATTGGGCAATGCAAAAATAAATGATCCACGGATTCCCCATTCTTATAACACATAATGCACCACTGAGGGTTTAAAGATCGATTAGGTCTCTGTTTCTGCAATGTATCATTTGTCAAAATGCCTCCATGAACCAAGACCCATATAAACACCTTCACCTTAAGAGGAGCACAAGCCTTCCAACTTCTCTTGGAAAAAGGAAATTGAGAAACATGAGAATCGATGAGTTCATCAAAAAAAGACTTACACGAAAATATCCCAGATGAATGGAGGGCCCAAACCCTCTTGTCCTCCAGAAGAGGAGTCAAAGAAAAATTCTCAATTCTGGACAACAAGGACGCCAACTGTGAAGCCTCCCTATCATTAAGATTTCTAGAAAAATCAAAGTTTTCGGAAATTGGAGCCAAAAGTGAATAAGTCATAGAAGCAATAGAAAAGTTATGAGATCGAGCCACTCTATAGAGATGTGGGAAATCAGAAGCACAAGAAGATTGGCCCATCCACGCATCCTCCAAAAAACAAACAAGTTTCCCATTGCCCATCCTTACAGAAAGATGACTAGACCAACATATGTTTATATGTGAAATTGATTTCCAAGGAGCACGACAAGTACCCCTCAGGACCACTCGAGAATCCCCACCGTTGTCTTGAGTTCCATACTTGCTTCTAATAACCAAATGCCATAGTGAATCACTCTTAAGTGGAAACCTCTATAACCATTTGCCAAGGAGGGCATGTGCCGAGCCAAAATGTTACCAATAGCCAAACCCCCTTTTTCCTTAGGTAACGAAACTAAATCCTAACTAACCAAGTAATCCTTCTTCCCCTCATCCTTGCCCTCCCAAAGAAAATCCCTTAACTTTTCTAATGCCTTTGCCACCTTAACCGGTATCTTGAACAAAGATAAGAAATAAATAGGAATACCACTCAAAACTGACTTAACCAAAGTGTATCTACCCTCGCGTGACAATAAAGCCTTGCTCCATCCTTCCAACCTCTTACCAATCTTCTCCACCACTGGATTCCAAAAAGCTTTACTTCTAGGATTACCCCCCAAAGGGAGACCTAAATACTTAAAACGGAAGTGTCTTTATACCACACCCTAAAAGAGCCGCCCTATTCCGAAGCACGGACACTTCTAAGAAGGTGATGTATTCGTGTCGTATCCGTGTCGGACACCGATACTCTTTGGACACTCTTAGGACACGTGTCCGACACTCTTCAAAACGTGTTCTATTTTTAAATTTTTTTTAAAGACTTGAACACTCTTTGGACACTTGAAGGACATACGTGTCCATCGCTTAAATACAAGTGTCTAACGATTAGACATATGTGAAATTAATTATAAGTTTGAACAAAACAACTTAAGATACAATAATAAAACAAAAACTATATAAATTTATAGGAATTAGTATCATATTGTATTTTTTATTATCTTTTTAATGATATATTCATATATATAACATATAATAAATATATAAAATTACATATTTCATGCGTGTCCCTCACGTGTCATGTCCTACATTTTTTAAAAATTAACGTGTCAGCGTGTCCGTGTCGTACTCGTGTCGTGTCACGTGTCCGTGTCCATGCTTCTTAGATGCCCACCACACTACTTTTCTCCAACTTAACCTTAAGGCTGGAGATGGCCCTAAACAATCTCTAAATCGAATAAAGATTAACTATCTGACTTTCATCTCTTGTTGAGAAAAAAATTATTTCATCCGCATACTGTAAATGCGTGACACAAACTCTGTCCCCCCTACCTCCAATCCCGCAAAAAGACCCAATACATCTGCCACCAAAATAAAAAGAAAAGGAGATAGTGGGTCCCCTTGTAATCCTCGCGAAGCCCTGAAACACTCCCTTGGTTTACCATTAACTAAAATAGACATATTACACGTCGACAAATATCCTCTAATCCAAGATCTCCACCGCCCACCATAACCCTTCTTGTCCATTACAGAATCCAAAAATTGCCAATCCATGTGATCATATGCCTTCTTGAAATCCACCTTAAAAATGATTCCCTCCTTCCCTAAACTTCTATATTCTTCCACGACTTCATTTGCCACTAAGACAACATCTAGGATTTGTCTACTTTTCACAAAAGCCCCCTGCGCCATCGACACAGTCTCCCCCAAGGAGATTCTGTGTCTCTTTGATAAAACCTTCCCTAAAATCTTATAAAGTGATGTGACCAAACTGATGGGTCTAAAGTCTCCAATTCTTAACACATTCACTTTCTTAGGAGTCAAACAAATGAATGTGGCATTTGAGCTCAAATTAACAACCCCCGACTCATGAAATTCCGAAAAACTCCCAACAAATCCTTTTTCACCACCTCCCAACAGTCCTGAAAGACAGTTATGGAAAAACCGTCTGAACCTGGAGCTTTGTCTCTCTCACACTAGAAAACTGCCTCCCGAATTTCCATTTTATCAAATGGCCTTTTAAGCCGGGTTGCAACTGCTTGATCAATAGGTCCCCATTCAAGTCCTTCAATCCCTGGTCTATTCATCTCCTCTTTCGAATAAAGCTTAGAATAAAAATCATAAATTCCATTGACTATTTGATTCTCCTGTTCCACTACTACACCTGGGCTTACTTCTAATCTCTTAATGAACTTCTTTCTTTTCCCATCTGCTACTGTGGGGGCCGAATAATGGAAAGATCAGATGGTGTGTATCTTTGGAAGATTGATATTAATCGGCTATATCCTACGAGAGCGGGGAGCCGAATAGAATATATGTGTCGAATAAAGTATAAGTACTAAGGGCCGAATAAAGGAAAGGACAATGATTAAAAAGTAGGCCCTGGCCCCGAGGATGAAGAAGAACAGGTATAAATACAGGAACAATGGTTATAGAAAGGTATATAAGAATCACTTCACAAAACTGGTAAATAAGCTATCCTGAGCATCTGAACTAACTTGTCCGTCAGAGTGCTAATTCCGGCACCTCCGACCGGAGTGCTTGTATCTTTTCAGGTGACTAGCTGAGGATTACTAGCGTCTCCCAGGATCTGAAGAGTATTTCCAAACCACATTCCCCACAATTGGCGCCGTCTGTGGGAATACTCAAATACATCCATGGCAGGCGTGACTGAAGAACCTCCGGTAGCCATTAACGAGACCGCACAAGGAGATGACCTCACTCCAGCAAATATGCTCGGAAAAGAAACCATCGCTGCAAGACGCGCCTTGAACTTCGACTTACCAACGACCTCAGCGCAAGAGACAAGCAAGCGATCATCGAACAAGCAAAGCAGAATGAACAAAGGCTGGAGAACATGATCGTTGAAAACGAACGTCTCCGTCAAGATTTGGCCCTCGAAGTCGCAAAATCGAGAGAAGCCATGCGCCAAGATCCCGAACGACCTCCGAAGGCCGGTGGACAACGACCTCGAGCCCGACCAACGGATACCGATAGTGACTCCAACTCATTAACCATGGAGCTCAACAAGAAGGGACGATCCGAAACTTCCAGCTCCTCCGAAAAGAGTTTGCATACAAGGAACAAGCGTAGGAGGAGCAGTTCAAACGAAGAGGACCAGCACGATCCTTTTGTCCGACGGATTGCAAGGGCGACCCTGCCTAAGAAGTTCAAAGCTCCGTCATTCACTCTTTACGATAGAAAATCAGACCCCACTGATCATATCCGTCACTACAAGCAGGCCATGACATTGCATGCAGACAACGAAGCCCTCATGTGCCGAATATTCCCTCTGCCTCCTCCATACCATAAGGAGCAGTTGGTCGATCGTCCAGAGGAGGTCATCAGCATACGCCTGGGGTATCTGCCAAAGGGACATAATTTGAGAAAGCTAGACAGAGGTAACAGAGAACAATGAATAGAAATGGTAGAAAACAAAACAAGACAAAGTGTAGTGAATAGAAGCAGAAATAAATGTGTACCTGCTTGATGCCAGGAGCAAATGCTAGCCTGCGGTCCCTCTCCTCGACATGCTCAAGGGGGATATGCTCGATCACTCCATCTAGACACATGTACATGATCTCAATGGAAATCACGGGAAACCTAGGAATGGGAGCAACGACAGGGGCACCTCTAGTAGGGGTATCACCAGTTACAACAGCAGTAACAGCAACCTCCGAAACAATGCGAACCACACCCAGGGTAAGAGGCGCCATCATCCGAGTATGTAAGAAGGTGGTTAAGTTGTCAGGCTCGTGATGTCGATCGCCATCCTCTATCAACATCAGAAGGTCGACCCTCGTGATTGGAGGAGGAGGATGTGGAATGTCGGGATCAA